ACAAAAATACATGTAGTTGTATAACTACATGTATAGTAAATACATGTAGTTATACAAAATTATGTATTAATTATTACAAAGTGTAAACCAAAATGATTAAATACCTTTGTGAATGATTTTCAGATGAGTGATATGAGTAAATAGAAATAATTGTTAATAAATATTAGTATTGTTAATATTAATAATAATATTAATATTATTAATAATATTAATATTAATATTAATATTGTTAATAAATATTATTAGTGCCTCGACACCATTAAGTAGTACTACCTCACGAGGTACACAAGGAACTACAATAGCTTTATTATCTGCCATCATTAAATGCTAAGAATCACAATTTCATACACCTATATAAAATTATTTTTGTCTAATACCGCAGTAGTAACGATGTATTAAAAATTGAATTCCATAGCAAAACAATTACATGTAAACATTTCATACGAGTGTCTTTGCACTAAAATTGTAGATTCGAATGTGACATATGCAAGACATGCAATGAGGAATAATTACAAGTATGGTAACATTTGTTAATTAACTCGTTTGCAATGCACGAATTGCGTTTCAGTAACAAAGACTGCGAGGCTCGGTCGCGTATCCGCGGATACAAACGGGTTAATTAATTAATAATAGGTATGGTAAATAAAAAAGATAAAATTATAAATAATTATGCTTAAATTATTTTTTGATCGTTTTAAATCGACATCATATCAATGTTACATACAGTGTGACTTACCTAAATATCTCCTTCAATTCTAACAATGTAAGAAGTTAAAAATTAATTTTTAAACGAAAGCTTAACGAAACCGGATAGTTTCTATTATTATTTATGAAGTATCAATGTACATTTCGATATACATTTAGTAATACTGCGGACAATGTCATCTGTCAATTAAATTATTTTAAATAAAGGAGATATTTGGGTGGACCACAACAAATGATAGTTCAAACCATCATCAAAATAATAGACTTATTTACAATATTATTCAAATAAAGAAATGTCTGCAGGCGTATCAACAAAATGAAGCCAACAGCATTCTTGTATAGCATTTGGGGTAATTTCAGATTCGACGATTAATTCCATGTGTAACAGTAAACAGACGACAGTATAACGACGACAATATATTCGCCTATGCTCGATTAACAGCCCTCCAATGAAAGTCTTTGATTTATATTCTCGACCCTCACCTTCATTTCCCTGAGAATGTCTTCAGCGAGGTTGTCCACGCAGGTGTACCTTACTTTAAACAAATTAAATACATCTACGAGGAATTCAACAACCTGATCCCTGAAATAGTGGCAAGTGGAACGTAGACTGCCTTCCGGACCCAAGAAGCCCCAGACAAGCACCGGGGTGATTTGTTCAGATATGGAATAAAAGTGTGCCAAGAATCCTTTATCATACTTCAACATTTGCCTTTTGCCGACAAGAACCGACCAAACGGCTGTCCCGATAGCCTAAAACAATCAGAGCAGAAACGAAAATAAACACCGATGACAAAGAACTCGTGAGAATTGGACTGCGGATTTTCACGCAACATGAAAATTGTATCCATCATTTGTAAGAAACAGAAGTCACAGAAAAATTTCGTTCCTTTTTCCTATGGAAGGGCCTTTCTAATTTCAGCAACTTTGTAACAAACAAATGCGAACCCGGTCATTTTGACCGACCTGATAGATTCAATGTTAACACTTCCACGACCGCGCTAGGAAGCTCAACAATTTTCATAAAATTAAAATATTTCATTCGATGAAACAAAAATTATGAAGCAAATTTATATGGCATCGATTGCTTCTTCAGCATTCGTGCCTCTTGCAAATCTTAATAAAATTAAGCAGTCGTTTGTAATTTTTCATTAATCATCCATTCGGTCGTCAACCGACTGAATTTGAAACGGGGAGATCTCCCCGTTCGGTTCGCTAAGTGTTAATAAGACAACTGTAATCCATCGACACTCTTAAATGCTTTTAATCTTTTTACAGTTTTCAACCGCGTCTGGTTATTATTTTGGTCACAAAAGCATCAAATCCGCAGTCTAGCGATAGTAACCCGGACAAAGGTCCAGCGACAGTAACTTGGAAAAACGTTTAGCTCCGAGTGTACTCACAGTTTCACGGAAACTGGCGGATATCCATCTGTTCTGTAAAATAGCTTTGATCGATGATGGCGGTTTCTCGACTTCTTCGAACGCGTCCAGGAGGATAAAGTCAATAAGAATGTCGTAGAAGTTCATGCACTTCACGCCCCTCCCCGCCAGCTCCTCCTCCATGATACTGTGGTTGGTTGGCTCTTGCAAGAAGTCCATCATCCGTTCGTAATGTACCAAGTAATCCTTCGGATCCTGGCGCCGGGAATGAAGTTGTTAAAATTCCGACCGTCGCTCGTGTAATGCTTGTCTATATACGGATAGGTGTAATAGATTATATATGTTGTGTATACCCTGTCTGCATACATGATCAAATCACTAATCACTTGTCGGCCGATATCGGCGATCCACACCGTCGCGGTCGGTATAGTGAACAATTTCGTGTATGCTTGCCGCAAGCAGTGCACTTTCGCTAAATACTCAACGTCCGAGCCGCATTTCACCAATTCCGTGTGCAGCCGCCTGCGAGAAACAAAACCAATGATCGCGCGTAGTCCGCTAATGAAAAATTAATTCAAAAACGTTTCTCTCTTTTTCTCACCTGCACTGAATTGTTTTGTCTTCGTGATGCCTCAGCGCGGTGTGGTAGAGCTTCTGTTTCTCGATGTGCGGGAAGAACTCGGAGAACTCCTCGAATTCCCGCAAGTCTGCCACCTTGTACGGTTCATGGAAGATAGAAGAAGGGTAGATTTTTCAATGCGACAGAATGGGAAATCGAAGCGAGAGTTTATTATTGCGATCGTGTTTCTAACTTACACCGTCCCGGGCGGATTCGAACGACTCCGGCGAAGACGCGGCATCCGCTTTATCTTTCCCGGATATCCGGCTGCCGATGTGAGACGGTTTGCGGCTGTCCAGGCTCTCCTCGCTGTCGTTGCGGAACAAGACCGACTGCTGTGGACCGATTTTTAAACCAATTAATGTCGGCCGACCGGCTTTATTACAGCGAGGATCGCGAGAAACGAGAAGAAAATCGTTAATGTTCTCGAACCTGTTCACTTTCATGCGAGTTTTAATGAGAAGAAGTGTATTTCTGTTTTCAGTTCCTTAACAGTCACGTCTGGCCATGTCACAGGTACGGTAAACTAACAAAGAATAGTTTTAAAGCGTACACATTTTATTAGATAAGAAAATCTGTTTTATTGACAGATATTAAAACACAAATTGATTATTTCGTTAACAGACTTTAATTTGGTATAATAAATATAAGTAGATAAGATGGAAAATTGTAAAGACAGAAGTATAATTTTGTATAATAAATATAAGTAGATAAGATGGAAAATTGTAAAGACAGAAGTCAGACGCGAAAAGGTGNATTTTAGTAGGACGAAAGCAACGTATCTACATTATTAAATGTTTGTAATCTTTCAACTGTTTGCCACTCCAGATACTCACTTTTGTTACAAATGCATAAAATCTGCAGTCTAATTAGAACTCATAAATTCTGCATATTATACATGTTCGTTGAGCCTAAAAGGATAACCGCTTGTGCCATACTAAGTCGTCTGGGTACTCCAGATAAAACTGTGTTCGATTATCTTCTCCCGACATATGAGCCGTTTATTTTGAAAGTGGCATAAGTCACTTTAACCGTAACGAAAAGTGGTGATTTTTTAATGTTTATACGAAATTATTTATACTGAGAGAAATATCAGTATCCTGAGATAACAAATACAAGTAAATCTTCTCGAAAGTTAGCATCCATATTTTTAAACGTGTTGAAACGCAAACCCTTAAATAGAATATATTTAAGTCGATATTATCGACTTAAAAACAAAGTGACTTATGCCACTTTCAAAATAAACGGCTCATATAACAGAGCTGGCAACATCGATGGCAACCCCTGACGACGGACAATTTCCACAAGCTCGCATTGTCGATGTTTACGGCCATTATCAGTGTGTCGCTCTGTACAGGGTGTCTCAAAATTATGAAACTTCCGGGAAATGTGGGGGTTCCTGAGGTCATTTGAAGTAACTTTTTCCTTTGCGCAAATGCAATCCGCGGCCTTGTATGCGAGTTATTAACGAAAAACATTGACCAATGAGAAACGAGCTCGGTTGGCGCGCGGCGGCCGAGCCAATGAGCGGAACCGGACTTCGTCGGCTCGTTGGCTCGGCCGCTTCGCGCCAGTCGAGCTCGCCTCTCATTGGTCAGTGTTTTTCGTTAATAACTCGTCAACGATGCCTCGGAGAAAATTTTTGTAAAGGTGAAAGTTGCTTCGAATGATCTCAGGAATCTCTAGTTTATCAAAAGTAACATAATTTTGGAATATCCTGCATAAGAATAACACAACCTATTTTATATAGACTTTTCATTGAAGATATTCGTTCAATTATTTTCTGTAGAGGTGTCTTTATGATCGAAACAATGTTAATCGAAGCAATACGAGACGGCTGATTTTGATCAGCAGGGTAGGTTTAGCGTTAAACAGCCTGGGTCAAAACGACCCGCGACGAACGCAGTCCGAGAGGGCTAAGGAGACCCCGTGAGCTTCTGTTCGATGGGCAGTCACTGGGACGACGGCTGTTTCCTGAGTTGGCCGGGCCGAAAGCGTTTCCGAGAACGAATTAAGCGAGTTCGGATTCATTGTTTGCGATAGCGCGGCCGCGCGTGCCCACCCGTCCAGATAGAAATGAGAATTGACAAATGTAAAACGATGTTACCGTTTAACGACCGTAGGCCTGGAGGCGCTGGAAAAAGCACTCTACTGCTGGGAGGATGCCCTGACGGCGTTCAGCTCTTCGCTCAGCAATGACACGCTCGCATTACCATCGAAGGCGGACGCGGCGTTCACGCACGATGTCCAGGAGCTCCTTGACATGGGTTATCAAATCCAGACCCAGGCGGAACTGCTCTTTATCGACCAGGTAGGCGCGGGTTTTACCTGTCCGTTCGTTTCGTTCCTGTTTTCGTCTACCGAAGCGAATCTCCGTTACGAGCAGAATTATTATATAGCCCCGGACCGTTTCCTTTTTCTCTCCGTTCACGCAATCTTTCCTATTTTCCCCTTTTTTTCCCCCTCGCCGAAGAGAGTTCGCTATCAACGACGATTTCGAGATAGACACGTGGAAAGTAGGTTGATCGTTAACGGTTTCGGTCTCGATTCAAGCGAACCGAATTACATTCCGATCTCCTCGCCACGCCATTGTTTTTCCTTTTCCTTGTTGCGAACCCTGCCGTCGCGCGTTCACTGCCATTCCGTTCTGCTGCACTCATCAATTACATTTTCCACTGCAAGACTGAAAAGAATACGGGAATTAATCCAATTTAAATGATCATTGACCGGCGCAATTAGCCGAATGAGTCACTTGACCTGACGCAAGGAGGACTCGCCGCATAGGAAGTTCACGGCACTACGGACGGCATTGTTCGAATCTAAGCGCACGAACGCACGAACGCTAATCAACGCCATGCAGATGGAAGATTCCTGTTATCTAGAAACTGCTGTTTTATCCCTTCGAACGCGGAAAATTCATAAATTCCGCAACCTTTGAGAATTCACTTCGTCATTATACATATTTATTCCATGCGGATGAAATAGAGAAATACTTAAAATGATCTTTATAAGAAATTTGAAGTATTTCTCTATTTCATCCGTATGCAATAAATACGTATAATGACGAAGTGGATTCTCAAAGGTTGCGGAATTTATGAATTTTCCGCGTTCGAAGGGATAAAACAGCAGTTTCTAGATAACAGGAATCTTCCATCTGCATGGCGTTGATTAGCGTTCGTGCGTTCGTGCGCTTAGATTCAAACAATGCCGTCCGTAGTGCCGTGAACTTCCTATGCGGCGAGTCCTCCTTGCGTCAGGTCAAGTGACTCATTCGGCTAATTGCGCCGGTCAATGATCATTTAAATTGGATTAATTCCCGTATTCTTTTCAGTCTTGCAGTGGAAAATGTAATTGATGAGTGCAGCAGAACGGAATGGCAGTGAACGCGCGACGGCAGGGTTCGCAACAAGGAAAAGGAAAAACAATGGCGTGGCGAGGAGATCGGAATGTAATTCGGTTCGCTTGAATCGAGACCGAAACCGTTAACGATCAACCTACTTTCCACGTGTCTATCTCGAAATCGTCGTTGATAGCGAACTCTCTTCGGCGAGGGGGAAAAAAAGGGGAAAATAGGAAAGATTGCGTGAACGGAGAGAAAAAGGAAACGGTCCGGGGCTATATAATAATTCTGCTCGTAACGGAGATTCGCTTCGGTAGACGAAAACAGGAACGAAACGAACGGACAGGTAAAACCCGCGCCTACCTGGTCGATAAAGAGCAGTTCCGCCTGGGTCTGGATTTGATAACCCATGTCAAGGAGCTCCTGGACATCGTGCGTGAACGCCGCGTCCGCCTTCGATGGTAATGCGAGCGTGTCATTGCTGAGCGAAGAGCTGAACGCCGTCAGGGCATCCTCCCAGCAGTAGAGTGCTTTTTCCAGCGCCTCCAGGCCTACGGTCGTTAAACGGTAACATCGTTTTACATTTGTCAATTCTCATTTCTATCTGGACGGGTGGGCACGCGCGGCCGCGCTATCGCAAACAATGAATCCGAACTCGCTTAATTCGTTCTCGGAAACGCTTTCGGCCCGGCCAACTCAGGAAACAGCCGTCGTCCCAGTGACTGCCCATCGAACAGAAGCTCACGGGGTCTCCTTAGCCCTCTCGGACTGCGTTCGTCGCGGGTCGTTTTGACCCAGGCTGTTTAACGCTAAACCTACCCTGCTGATCAAAATCAGCCGTCTCGTATTGCTTCGATTAACATTGTTTCGATCATAAAGACACCTCTACAGAAAATAATTGAACGAATATCTTCAATGAAAAGTCTATATAAAATAGGTTGTGTTATTCTTATGCAGGATATTCCAAAATTATGTTACTTTTGATAAACTAGAGATTCCTGAGATCATTCGAAGCAACTTTCACCTTTACAAAAATTTTCTCCGAGGCATCGTTGACGAGTTATTAACGAAAAACACTGACCAATGAGAGGCGAGCTCGACTGGCGCGAAGCGGCCGAGCCAACGAGCCGACGAAGTCCGGTTCCGCTCATTGGCTCGGCCGCCGCGCGCCAACCGAGCTCGTTTCTCATTGGTCAATGTTTTTCGTTAATAACTCGCATACAAGGCCGCGGATTGCATTTGCGCAAAGGAAAAAGTTACTTCAAATGACCTCAGGAACCCCCACATTTCCCGGAAGTTTCATAATTTTGAGACACCCTGTACAGAGCGACACACTGATAATGGCCGTAAACATCGACAATGCGAGCTTGTGGAAATTGTCCGTCGTCAGGGGTTGCCATCGATGTTGCCAGCTCTGTTATATGAGCCGTTTATTTTGAAAGTGGCATAAGTCACTTTGTTTTTAAGTCGATAATATCGACTTAAATATATTCTATTTAAGGGTTTGCGTTTCAACACGTTTAAAAATATGGATGCTAACTTTCGAGAAGATTTACTTGTATTTGTTATCTCAGGATACTGATATTTCTCTCAGTATAAATAATTTCGTATAAACATTAAAAAATCACCACTTTTCGTTACGGTTAAAGTGACTTATGCCACTTTCAAAATAAACGGCTCATATGTCGGGAGAAGATAATCGAACACAGTTTTATCTGGAGTACCCAGACGACTTAGTATGGCACAAGCGGTTATCCTTTTAGGCTCAACGAACATGTATAATATGCAGAATTTATGAGTTCTAATTAGACTGCAGATTTTATGCATTTGTAACAAAAGTGAGTATCTGGAGTGGCAAACAGTTGAAAGATTACAAACATTTAATAATGTAGATACGTTGCTTTCGTCCTACTAAAATTATTAAGAAAAGAAATGCAATTTTTGAGTTGCCCCTATTTTTCCGCAACAGGTGCAGACAATTTTTATTTCGCATAAAGATCCGCAGTCTAGTTCTAATTAACACGTTCCGTGCCGAGCTGTTTTTATTCGATTTGATATTTTGANGCAAAGGAAAAAGTTACTTCAAATGACCTCAGGAACCCCCACATTTCCCGGAAGTTTCATAATTTTGAGACACCCTGTACAGAGCGACACACTGATAATGGCCGTAAACATCGACAATGCGAGCTTGTGGAAATTGTCCGTCGTCAGGGGTTGCCATCGATGTTGCCAGCTCTGTTATATGAGCCGTTTATTTTGAAAGTGGCATAAGTCACTTTGTTTTTAAGTCGATAATATCGACTTAAATATATTCTATTTAAGGGTTTGCGTTTCAACACGTTTAAAAATATGGATGCTAACTTTCGAGAAGATTTACTTGTATTTGTTATCTCAGGATACTGATATTTCTCTCAGTATAAATAATTTCGTATAAACATTAAAAAATCACCACTTTTCGTTACGGTTAAAGTGACTTATGCCACTTTCAAAATAAACGGCTCATATGTCGGGAGAAGATAATCGAACACAGTTTTATCTGGAGTACCCAGACGACTTAGTATGGCACAAGCGGTTATCCTTTTAGGCTCAACGAACATGTATAATATGCAGAATTTATGAGTTCTAATTAGACTGCAGATTTTATGCATTTGTAACAAAAGTGAGTATCTGGAGTGGCAAACAGTTGAAAGATTACAAACATTTAATAATGTAGATACGTTGCTTTCGTCCTACTAAAATTATTAAGAAAAGAAATGCAATTTTTGAGTTGCCCCTATTTTTCCGCAACAGGTGCAGACAATTTTTATTTCGCATAAAGATCCGCAGTCTAGTTCTAATTAACACGTTCCGTGCCGAGCTGTTTTTATTCGATTTGATATTTTGACTAAAACTTGGTATATTATATATTAATTAATATATATAATTATATATTATGGTATATTATATATTAATTAATATATATAATTATATATTATGGTATATTATATATTAATTAATATATATAATTATATATTATGGTACATTATATATTAATTAACATATATAATTATACATTATGGTATATTATATATTAATTATGTTATATACACAGTAATTATTAATTACTGTGTATATAACAATGCAACGAACTTATTATGACCCATTCTTGTGGTGGAAATCAATTATTCGGTTCTAAATTTGTTACGAACTATTTTCCTAGCGCATTCGATAAACGCGTAAGCATGTACACGTGGCACGGAACGCGTTAACTCGTGTTACGCAATCACACATTTTCCTGGTTACGATCAATTATACCAATTCTTTAAATATATTGTATAATTCCGCGAGGAATAACATGTAAGTGGCTAGCAAAGGGATGCCGATAATGTGGCCAGGTAAAAGAGTAAAGATACCGGCAGGCTATTAAAGCAAGGTACAGGAAATCGATTAAGTGCACAAGTGTTTAGTTTATGTCCAATCGTGGCACCTTTCACAAAAAGTCACCGAAACGTTCAGCGCGATGCTCTAATTTTCCAAAACGCATGTTTCCCGAGACGACAACAGCTGTCCAACATATCTCTACGATTCCTGAGTTGCAGATGGACAGGTATTACGATCACGAGCGAATCACGGGCCTCTCCGGACTCCACGAGAAATAGGGTATAATGATTCGCGGAGGGTCTCGAAAATTGCGGGGCGTGTTCTCGAGTTCGTAAACGCATAAACACGCTCGCGTGCCGGTAATTTCGTGCAGCCGAACTTGTTCCGGCGCGGTTAAGGATCGCGATTGATCCTCGTAACCGTGTTGCACGCGTTTCGTGCGCCGGCGACGGGCCGGTTAATATTTTCAGCAGGACAGGGGTTAAATCGATCATGGATCCGAGGTTAGATCGATACGTGATATTTCATTAAGGTGCCACGAAACGGATCCGTTACGGTTCCATTACGACGAAGTAAAAAGCGAAGCGCACGCGGCTCGACCGAAGGATAAAACCGCCGCGCTCTCGAAGGAATTATCCGATTAGCTCTCGAGCACTGCGCAGTTAAGATTTCAAGCGCCGCGAACACGGTTTTCTCAGTTTACCGCCTTCGTCAACAGAGAGTATCTATGTTCTCAATCTCGTGCGCGTACACAGATCCACCGTGTTTCTATTTCATCTTTATTGCGTCCAGTCCATTTTCTTACGGCTTATCGTCATCGATCACCAGACGCTGTTACATCAACGATTAGGGCGCAACGAATAACGATACGCGTTATCGTGCACGAACCGAGATATTTCTCGCACCGCTCCATACATCATTATCAGCCCGATGCGATGACCGAGTACGTTCAATTCCGTTGTGTATCGGCGCCTGTAAGTTACAGCGGCTCGGAAAAGAACACCTTTCAGCATCTACATGACCTTTTCAAAATTGGACCGAACGTATGTTCTGAGAAATTTGAAATTATTTGGTCCACTTTTAGGAAAGTCATTTTAAAAATGTTAGACAATTTTACAAAAATTGCAATTGGTTGGGGCGGTTTATATACAGGGTGTCCCAAAAATGTCTCGTAATCCGGAAATGGAGTGTTCCTCGGGTCATTTGAAGCAACTTTTTCCTTTACAAAAATTTTCTCCGAGGCACCGTTAACGAGTTATTAACGAAAAACAGTGACCAATAAGAATCGAGCACGGTTGACACAAGGTGGCCCAGCCCACCAGCGCACGAAGTGGTTGGCTCGGCCGTCTCGCGCCAGCTGATCTCCGCTCTCATTGGTCACTGTTTTTCGTTAATAACTCGTAAACAAAGCCGCGGATTGCATTTTCGCTAAGGAAAAAGTTACTTCAAATGACCTCGGGAACCTCCCATTTTCGGATTGCGAGACATTTTTGAGGCACTCGTGCCAATTGCAACCAGTTGAGCCATGACGAAAATTTAGAAAATGAGATTGGTCTAGTAAGCTGTTCAGTGTAACATCGCAAAAAAATTCAAGCTATTTCCGATTTAGAAGGTGTTGCTTAAAAGGTAAACTGTTATGCGAATCACCGTGATTCATACAACTGAGTAAATATATTAGCTCGATCCTGTAGCGCGTAATGAAACAACATTAGCATTCACTTTGAGAAGGTGAGTACTCGACTTTGTCACTATTGCTTCAACATGTTTTCGATCCTCGATGTACCTCGCTGCAACTATGATTTTACTGCGTACCCGACAAGGTAGGAGCAGTTTTGCCGCGATGCTTTCACTTCCAGTCGAATTTAGTCTCCGCTGGTTTTTGTTTACTCGGAAGATGAGTGCCGCCATCGAGATTTCCATGGGATAACTGTTCCTCGTAACTGGTTTTTTTTTCCCCCATGGACGATTTCTATTTCCGTCGGTGCAAGAACGATTTCAACGTTTCCCATAGTTTTTCGATGACGGTGTATAAAATCGCTTTCATGACATGCTCGTGATCTTTTTGTCCGCAGCAACAACTTTGTCATGGCTTGCATAAACGTCCTTCGATATTATTGCGTTCGCGGGTCTTTTTGTTTGGCTCTCGCTATCCGGTAAACGACCTGAAATCATGTTTTACTGCGACGTCTTCTTGCGTTATTCAGAGGTAGGAGGAGTAGGCTCTGTTCGAACAGTTTCTTTTAAACGGGGTCATTTTTCAACAAAATAGACTTTTAATATTGAAATTGAATTGAATTTAAAAAAAAATGTTAGACCCACTAATTTACTAGGCAAGGAGCAAATTTTACAAAAATTGCAATTGACTGGAACGGCCTATACATATGCACCAATTGCGATTGGTTGTGCCTATAAAATGAAAACAAAAATGGAATTTTTCTAGTAAACTAGTTAGTGTAACGTCTCAGAAAGATCGAAGCTGTTCGGTTCAATTTTTAAAAAGTTATCCCGTTTGTGAACGTATCAACATCATCATCTAACCGCCTGAGAAAAATAATGATTCAAAAGATTCTTGAAGCATTCGTAGCTAACCAGTATTAACTAGTGATCTCTGTCTCACGTGTATCTCACTTTCACGTGTACACGTGTAATTAATATTCACGTGTTTTGATCCGCGCCAATTTTAACACACGTGCGGAATACACGTGTATCGAAATCCGTGTATTTCAATGAATAATTAAGCATGTATATGCTACTATTATTATTATTTTATTATTTTATTATTTTCTCTATTTTATGTAGGATAAAGTTTCAAAATTTTCAAGTATAATCGAAAGACGAATATACAGATTGAAACACGCGGATTTTGATACACATATACATAAAATACACGTTCAAAACCGTGATCTCATTAACCGTTCGGTCTCCGGTATGCTGTCCGCAGTTTTCTAGGGTGGAAAAATCGGGGGTTCGTCGAAACAATAATTCGGAAGGCTTGGAACGTTCGGATAGACGCCCCGGCTGAGTTTTCCGACGACTCTAGCCCAGACGGGAAGAGGAAGCAACGTCGCGACTCGGTACTTGGCACTCGGACAAGTGGCAAAGGTAAGTTCAACGACTGATTTTGCAACGGCAGAAGATTTACAAATGAGAGACCCTGTTGGCTGGCGTGTCGGCCAGTCAGCGGAGTGTAAGGGGTTGAGAGCACCTACTTAACGTTGTCACTGTCGCAGGATTTAAATTCCGAGTCGGTGACGACATTCGCCGTATTCTACGTTTCGTCACTCTCGTTGGCCCACGCAGATGAAACCGCCAGGACGGAAATCAACCGGGCCACCGTCAATTACACCAAGGATATCGTCCGAAAGGTGTGCCCATTATTTTCAATCTCCGACCGGAATTAACGTCGTACCTTGGCCTTTGTCTGTGGCTCGCGGTGCACCAACTCTCATTGCAAAAGAAAAGGAAATAAAAAAAAAAGTTGGTCTTTCCTGGCCCTTATTTCACAATGTTATTGCGCATTTTTCCCGTAAATGTGGTCTACCGGTTTGTAATCTTATATTCATTATTTATAAGTAGACTGTGCATTTTATGCGTTTATAATAAACAATGAATAGGTATTTATGATAAAAATGAATTTGAGGATATCGTTGCATCGCTTTCAACTTATTGCAATGATCCAAGAATGAAAGACATTTTCGCGCAACTTACGTTTCTTAGCAATTCATTCAGACAATGTTTATTTTGCAGAATGATCGACAGTTCATTTACAAGAACCATGGAGTGTCGTTAGCCTTTGTACGCGCTATTAATAGCTTCACTATCATACGGTAAATTTATCGCACTTATTAAAAGGTGTAATTAATTGAGCATAATCTTCAACGAACAGGATCTCAAAAACATTGTGTCTGATGAACTTTTTGCAGAATCTTGTACGGCTGTTAATTACAACGAATTATCGAGCACCGGACTGCGTAGAAAATAAGAGATTTGCACGAGTGAGCTAAAGCGCATAGTAGTAGTCATTATCGATACGCGCCTAGTTCCCTCGAAAGATGCGACGGGACGAGTGCATACAGGTACGGACAATGTAGGGTATAGGAAGGGTGAGGGGTTGAATGGACCCGTTCCTCTTCGATCGGAATTTTGATTTTGATTTAAGGGTGTCTTAACTGCCGCTGCGCCTGGAGTAGGGGGTCGCCAGGGGAGGAAGAAAAATATGCGCAACAGAGGGGGCAAAGTTGGGGTGTTTCCCAGTGACGTACCTATTCGACCCCGAATCGAACTATTCCGGCTGAATCGGGAAAAGCATCTCGACTTTCTGGAATTCCGCGAACGGAAGTCCGAATCCGGAATATTCGTGTTGAACGATATTTATTGGCCACCCGGTAATCTACACTTTCATACTCGCAATCGATAAAACTACACTCCGACGGGCAACTTGAATGACAAGTAATGCAAAAACGCGAGATTATACGGCGACAACAAATATAATTCATTTAAGCATCAAAAGGAACCGGTTTGGTCTTTTATCTCCTGCTGGCCGACGCCGATACTCATTATTCTTTCCATAATGATCGGCGGTGGCCCGGGGGAGTAGTCGTGTTTCCGTATGAAAGCCGCGTTTCATTTGTATATTCAGCAGACGACGTTTCGAGAATGCGAAGAAAAACAACGTCTACGATCGTCAGTCGTCGCACAGAATCCGCGCCCCGCCCGTCTGCGCTGCAACCGGTGCATCGGAGTGTTCGATACAAATTAGAATCCCGGTCGTAGAACGTAAAAGGTGGCACGAGCCGGCCGTGCTCGCAGCTGGCAAAGTGTCCTTTATTTAACGAAGAGACACCGAGATCTCAGAAAGTAAGTGCTTTCTCGGCGAACCAACCCTCGTGAATTCGCTTGCGTCCCCCGTTAAAGCAGCGAAAGACACCCGAAAGAGTCCAGCACTGAGATGCTGCCGAGCACCGATGGCCAGTGCCGGCTGAAAGAATATTTCAAATACCGAACAGCAAAGGAACACACGTTCATCTCGACCACGGACAAAACGAGATTTTATTAATACGATTGCCCTTTGCGTTATAACGACGACATATTACACGTCCAACATAGAAACATCCAAACCTAAATATATCTTAACCCAAATAAGCTAAATGCACCTCTCTCTCGGGTTGCAACGCTACAGGAAATACTCTGTGCGCAACGGACGCGCACATACTGCAACGGAATATCTTTCCGGCAAGATGAATGAGTTAGTGGGTGACGAAATTATTCGAGGAAACTGTAAACCATCGACTGAAACAATTTTTAAACTAACCCGTAATCTATGTATTCTGTCGGAAGCTTTAATGGCACGAAATAATGAAATAAGTGAACGGATACGGGAAACATATGGATCCGTTCAACATTTGCTGCGCACAGAGTGCATGTATGTGCTTGTTTCTCGCGCTACGAAAATTCCCGGCATATCGATTAACCGCCGCATCGAATCGCGCGTTGCTGCCCTAAAGTATCGATATCATGAAATTTCAAACAGTCGTTCAGCTTTAAAACCGCAGTCGCGCATCGTCTCCTCTCGACTCCCAAAACTTGCAATTCCTTCCGACAACCGTGCAAGTAGAGAAGACAATTGAATATCGTTGAACACAGGGCCGTGCGATACGAAGGGCGCACGTCCGCCTAGGCGCCCGTTTAAATCGCCGAGGCGTTCTGATTTCGCGACCCGCTCTCGAGGTCCGACACGCGCTGCGTTATTTTCCGTGCGCGCATCTCGGAATCGAGATATATTTTTCTCGAAATTTTCGCCAGCTCTGCGGATGGCTGGCGTCAATAATACCGAAGTGACGTAATCCTTTCCGAGGTTCGTTATTGGAGGATGTGTCATCCAATAGGGAGGGGTCGATACGGCAGCTGGGAGGCGCGCGCGGTCTCAAAGTGTGCTACAGGCACGCGTTGCGGCATCGCGCGGTTCGTCGTCGCCGCTAGTGCACCGCTGGAGCCCCGACTAGCCAGGTCTCGAGACAGGAACCTAAAGCCAGCGACAAAACGAAAGCAAGAGAGAGAGAGAGAGAGAGAGAGGGGGAAAGAAAGAGAGGAGACACGGCGGAAAAGCCAGCGCTAGAAAGAGAGGAGACTGTACCGCGGCCCTTGGGCGAGGGACGAGGACCAACCAACGGAGCCTAAGAGTGCGTCGAGGAGGGAAGGGGTGGGACACGCACCGAGTCCTCGCGCTGCCGTCAGTTACTCGGCTCGCCGCTAGCTGGCCAGGTGTAGTGTGCGTTCGCTCCTGAGGAACACGGGCCGTTGACACGCGGATTTTACTAACGAGCTGACCGACTACTGCTACCTCGGTTCCGTTCACAGAATAAAAGACAGGACACCTAGTGCCACGTATACCCTACCCCTAGGCGCCAGTATTCGGACATTAGTTGGATTAAGATAATGCAATAGTAAGTACGACTGTTTCCTACTCTATGGTTTGGTATTGAGCGTGTCGGGACACGCGATGCCGCACGGTTTTCTCCAAGTGCACAGGGTTGGTTTGCCGGACGGGGTGGGATTCTGCGAGTAGAAATTCGACGAGAGTGCCGCGCGATTACTGCGTAACCGTTTACGATTTGTGGCGCGGAGAGACAGTGACGTGTTCGCGGGAGGGTTAACGAACGAAACAACGAGTTTACGCGACGGTTCAACGATTTTTGTCTGATTTTTACTCGTGGAATTTTACTCGATTCGCCCTGTGGCATGCTCTGTCCTTGATAACCGAGTCTGTTAATGATTTTGGTACTCGTTGTAGAATATGACCACAGCTGATTCGGATTCCAGGTACGTTCGTAACGGGGACGAAAGTCGTGGTTTTTCATGGGAGAAGGTGTCGGGGATGAAAAATCTTGGCGCTCGCGGTTGGTCAATCGACCGATTCGGACGGTAGTGGGGGGGCACCGTGATAGATTCCAAAATATTGCGTAATTCGTTCGGATACGACGAGGATACGCAGCGTGATTCACCGGGGATCCTTTTCGAAAGGATTTCCTGGTCCGCCATTCGAGATACGGATACCGCTGCTTCCGTATAGGTCAAGTTCAGGGGTCAATAGCTCGGCACCCGTTGAATCTCGAATAAAAGTGAATGCCGTAAATGTAGCAATAGCACCGCACACCGGCAGATCGATGGAGGTGCCTGGTGCGCTGGTGAACTTGGAAATTTCCCTAGCACACGCGCACTTCCTGCAACCGTGATATTTGCGTATTTGCCATACGATGCCCTAAACAGATGCTTCCATCGAACCCTAAACTTTCGGGAGCGTGACAATGTTTTCTTTTTATGTGCGCCGGGAGAACGCGTCCGTGACAGGCATAATCAAATGGAGGAGAATACTGGGATTCTACACGAAAAGAAAACGGACTGGTTCTTCTTCGTGATTGAAACGAAAAAAGTAGGCAACGTTATTTCGCCAATCCTCGGACGTTCTTCACGGATTTGCATAGATTTTCTGGTTTCTAATTAACATCGCGCGTTTCGAACGTTTAGTAATTTGCAATCGTGTGGCACTTTGCAATAATTATTGGGAGATCACTCCTAGAATTACACATTTTCACGAGAATTTAACAGAATTGATACGATCGTTTAATGTTACGGGTTTCGCGGGTGTATATATTAATTTAAATTATTGCAACGTACGCGAAAGCTTCACCGGTTAAAAATAGATGATAATCGACCTCGTGAACAGGGGCGGCGACGCTCATAATTGAACAGTACTCACGTTCGATTAAGTTAATGAAGATGCACAGGCATCGAGCGAGAACGAAAGATAATTGTGCCCGTGTGTGGCACACCTATCGAATAATATTCTAATTAACAGGATTGCGACCTGTTCTCGTTTTCATAACAAATCGACCTACCGCGTTATGTACACTCGACGCTCATTTGTCGGTTTAATTACACGCGATGGTTTAAAAAGGAAATTGAGCCTACCAAGCGTGATAAGACGCCTATCGTTACTATTCGATACAAGCGTATTAACACTTTAGCTTCCGGAAGCCTGTCGATTCAATTCTCGATGATTCTGTTGCATGAAAAAGGAGATCGCCGATCTTTTGCAATTTAATCAGTTGCTTTATAATCTGGGCTCGTACTGCTATTCAAATGTTTACCAAGACAGCTGTAACTGTAAATGGTAGATTTTTCTTTAAATTACCCGTTTGATTAAAAGAAATTGCCGTGCCGCTTTTAACTGGTATAATAATTTTCAGAAAATATTACCGGTCACCGTGATCGTAATAAAGCCCGAGTAAAAATTACAACAGGATGTGTTAATTATAGACGAACGCGCCATTGACATTTTGTTCCCGGCTGGTGGATAAGATAACGAAGACATGGAAAATGCAACTTTGTCACCAAAGTGATATTGTAATACGATGTTGGAGTCGCCCCTGACCTCGGTAAAACAATTTAAACAGAGTTCAATTGAAATGCTGACTAGATCGTTCCACGAATATTCGGCGAGATCAAAGCGTAAGATCAGATAACATTCCATAAAGGAATATGTTTTGCAGACTGGGAAACTCGTTAATTCTTGCAATTCGCGGCGCTGTTTTTGCGCGTACTATGAGATCAACAAATGTTTTCATCTCCCGGTTACGTACGATTGTTTGCAAACAGCGAAACGTTTGTTTTCGAATTCCAGTTAAACCTGGACTGTTTCTCAAAACGAACCTTTCCAATCTGTTACCGTTGTAAATCGCAACTTCCAGAACACAGTTTCCTCTAAATTGCTCTAGACACTGCCATTGTTCAGGGACAGGAAAAAAGTGTTTACACGCCCGGTAATGGGTGTCTCCAATTCGCAGCAGCGGCACGACAGTAGTCACGAGTTATTTCAGTCAGACTATGCGTTAATTGGTGGCCAAATTATTTTGCCGCGTCTCCAGCTGACGATCTCGCGCCGAAATATGTATCGTGCTGCCAATTAAAAACACGTTCTAGATGGAAAAATATCGTACATCGTTTTGGACTATTTATGATTTACTGAATTATTATTTTAGACCTTGAAGCGAAATTTTTGCAAAGATAGTACCGTTCGATAAAATTGTATACATTTAACTATATACATATGAAAATGTTATTTGTATATGCATATAAATCAAAAAATTATAAATAATATGAATACAATATAAAATCGATTCACATTACGGTAGCGTTAAATACGGTTCGCGAAATTCCAAGAAAAATTCGGGCCACTCCGGATTAATTTTAGAATACGTTCCCGCGGGAATTTTTCACTTTCCGAGGGGTCAAATTAAAGCTGAAAGATCGCACTTTAAGACGGATTAGCTGAATTTCGCAGAAAATTTGAAACCGATTACGGAATAAACGATTGTTTCCGGTGCACTCGATTTTGTCCACGTTTTCAATTATCCGGTGGACAAATCGTGACAGATCGTGTTAACGATCCGCGACTGATTCGGCGAATTATTAATCTCGGGAAAGTGCGACGTCGCAGGAATTTATTAATAAATTGGCAGTGCGAGGGGGGGCTCGAAGGGGGAGACCTTTCGAACCGATCACGCGAACCGTGGCGCAGCTAGCGCGCAGATGACCTGTCGATGGATGCAAATGTCCCCGGCTAACTGGATACACGGCATGATCGTGTCGGTTATTAGGTAATAGTGGATCCCCTGTCGAGGATGCTTCGACCCTGATGAGGCTAATAAAAGTGACATCATTATCGCTCGCCGCAACGAGCTTTTAACCTACGTGGCTCGCTCTGATTTTCATAATCTGGTTCACATCGTCGTCCGCCTCTCTCCCCTATTAATTTCTCTCTCTCTCTCTCTCTCTCTCTCTCTCTCTCTCACTCTCTCCTATCATCTCTCCCTCGAAGGNGCCGCTTTTAACTGGTATAATAATTTTCAGAAAATATTACCGGTCACCGTGATCGTAATAAAGCCCGAGTAAAAATTACAACAGGATGTGTTAATTATAGACGAACGCGCCATTGACATTTTGTTCCCGGCTGGTGGATAAGATAACGAAGACATGGAAAATGCAACTTTGTCACCAAAGTGATATTGTAATACGATGTTGGAGTCGCCCCTGACCTCGGTAAAACAATTTAAACAGAGTTCAATTGAAATGCTGACTAGATCGTTCCACGAATATTCGGCGAGATCAAAGCGTAAGATCAGATAACATTCCATAAAGGAATATGTTTTGCAGACTGGGAAACTCGTTAATTCTTGCAATTCGCGGCGCTGTTTTTGCGCGTACTATGAGATCAACAAATGTTTTCATCTCCCGGTTACGTACGATTGTTTGCAAACAGCGAAACGTTTGTTTTCGAATTCCAGTTAAACCTGGACTGTTTCTCAAAACGAACCTTTCCAATCTGTTACCGTTGTAAATCGCAACTTCCAGAACACAGTTTCCTCTAAATTGCTCTAGACACTGCCATTGTTCAGGGACAGGAAAAAAGTGTTTACACGCCCGGTAATGGGTGTCTCCAATTCGCAGCAGCGGCACGACAGTAGTCACGAGTTATTTCAGTCAGACTATGCGTTAATTGGTGGCCAAATTATTTTGCCGCGTCTCCAGCTGACGATCTCGCGCCGAAATATGTATCGTGCTGCCAATTAAAAACACGTTCTAGATGGAAAAATATCGTACATCGTTTTGGACTATTTATGATTTACTGAATTATTATTTTAGACCTTGAAGCGAAATTTTTGCAAAGATAGTACCGTTCGATAAAATTGTATACATTTAACTATATACATATGAAAATGTTATTTGTATATGCATATAAATCAAAAAATTATAAATAATATGAATACAATATAAAATCGATTCACATTACGGTAGCGTTAAATACGGTTCGCGAAATTCCAAGAAAAATTCGGGCCACTCCGGATTAATTTTAGAATACGTTCCCGCGGGAATTTTTCACTTTCCGAGGGGTCAAATTAAAGCTGAAAGATCGCACTTTAAGACGGATTAGCTGAATTTCGCAGAAAATTTGAAACCGATTACGGAATAAACGATTGTTTCCGGTGCACTCGATTTTGTCCACGTTTTCAATTATCCGGTGGACAAATCGTGACAGATCGTGTTAACGATCCGCGACTGATTCGGCGAATTATTAATCTCGGGAAAGTGCGACGTCGCAGGAATTTATTAATAAATTGGCAGTGCGAGGGGGGGCTCGAAGGGGGAGACCTTTCGAACCGATCACGCGAACCGTGGCGCAGCTAGCGCGCAGATGACCTGTCGATGGATGCAAATGTCCCCGGCTAACTGGATACACGGCATGATCGTGTCGGTTATTAGGTAATAGTGGATCCCCTGTCGAGGATGCTTCGACCCTGATGAGGCTAATAAAAGTGACATCATTATCGCTCGCCGCAACGAGCTTTTAACCTACGTGGCTCGCTCTGATTTTCATAATCTGGTT